AATATGCATTGCTAAGAACTTAATTTGGACAACTTTAAAGATGATTTTTTCAATATTTAGATTTTTTTGCACTTCTGAGAAGTGAGCTAACCAATAATATGGTTACATATACTATTATTGCTCACCAATAATATGGTTACATACACTACCATTCAAAAGTCTCTTCTTCTCACCAAGACTGCATTTATTTGATCAAAAATACAGTAAAAATTGTGAAATATTATAATTTAAAACAGCTGTTTTCTATGTTAAAATCTGTTAAACTGTAATTTATTTCTGTGATGCGCAGCTGTATTTTCAGCATCATTACTCCAGTCTTCAGTGTCTCATGATCTTCAGAAATCATTCTAATATGCTGATTTGCTGCTCAAGAAACATTTCTGATTATCATCAATTTTGAAAACAGTTGTGCTGCACAATATTTTTGTGGAATACATTTTATTTTTCAGGATTCACAGATGAATAGAAAGTTCAAAAGAACAGCATTTATTTTAAATAGAAATCTTTTGCAACATTATAAATGTCTTTACTGTGACTTTTGATAAATTGAATCCATCTGCGATGAATAAGAGTATTAATTTCTTCAAAAAAGCTTACTACAATTTTTTGAATGGCATTGTAGAGACACAGTAATTTAATAGGGGCCTCTTCACATAGAACTCATTTTTGTGATGCTTTTCCATTGTTTCTCCAAGTAAACATGCACTGTTTGTGTCTGTTGCACCTAAAATTGCATCTAAAAATTAAAAGATGCACACACACATATGAAGACCCTGTTTTTTTTTATTTCACTTCCCACAAAAGTGTTCTGTGTGGCCCATAAATTAAGAAATGACTAGTAGAGAATGTGTTCATTTTGTCTTCTCTTGTCTCTCTCTCTCTCTCTCTCTCTCTCTCTCTCTCTCTCTCTCTCTCTCTCTCTCTCTCTCTCTCTCTCTCTCTCTCTCTCTCTCTCTCTCTCAATTTTCTCTGTGTACTCTTTATCTTCTTTTCTCTCGGTCAGAGTGTCGTACTCTCTGTCACCCCAAGTGTTCCCCGTGTTTACCGGCGACCTGCGGTCTTCCTGCT